GGTCTCCAGCTATTGAGAAGAACTACGTGATGTCTATGGGCTTTCAAGAAGCTGCAGCCATATGGCAGTCATTTTACTGTCTATATAGGTGAACCTGCTGCTGCTCACTGTGCCTATCCAGCAAGAGGATTGTGATGCCAAGCTGTTGTGATGGAGCGTGCTTCTTCAAGCTTCTGATCTAGAAGAAACGTACAGTCAGAGAGCATGAACGCTCGCCCTGACGCTTTGTCCCGACCCACCCCTACCAAGCAAGTTGCAGTGATTCCTTGCAGCTCATTGACAAAGATGGGGGAAACGTCGGAAAGTTTGGCATTATGCCTACGGTCAATGTGGAAATCTGTTTCCTGTCGCATGCCGGGCTCGAATGAGTTACTGTCTGTCATTGTCTGGTGGAACTGTGGGAAGGGGGTTTTAGCTTTGAATGATTCCTGTGCATTCGGCACTTCACTGTGAGTCTGCAAGAGGCTGAGGATGACAGGTGGAATCTGAAGCTTCTCAGCCTGAGCATATGGTACCAAGGTGGGAACAAGCTTTAAAAAGCACAGCTGTCGTAGAATTGTAGAATTTAGAATTCTCTTAGAATTTCCCCACTGCAGGGAGCTGTATTGTTGTAACCCTTCGGGCACAAAAGGACTCTTCCTAGTCTGATCTGTGATGACCTTGGCAGTTACACGTAAAGGTGAGCACGGTTCTCAGGACTTCTGACATATTTTGAGAGTGACATCTCTACAGTTTAAAAAGCAATCGTTGCTAAGCCTGTCCTTACTGTGGTGCCTTGCAATGGGGCCACTTACATTGAATTCCAATGGCGTGGAGGTAGCAGCTGCGTGGCTGGAGAGGGCCTGCACCCTGACCTCCAGGGTTGAAAGTGGCCTCTCATGCAGGGTGTCTGTCATGTTCCAGAAAAGGGCTTTGACTGAACAAGGTGTCTGTGTTGCAGTACCTGCACTGGAGAACCAGTGTCCACAGTTGCTTTGGAAGCGCTGCAGAATGTGCAATTATGATACAGTATGAGGCTGAAGCAAACACGGTTATTTAAATACTTTACATGCATGTTCTCTTTGAGGCACATAGCAGCTGAGCTTCAGCTATGCTCCTAAAGTGCACCTAAACCGTTGTAGTTAGACTGGTGGATCTATTTTGCCAGCTTAAACTGAATGAGCAGAGGCATGATCAAACAAGGGGAACCTATGTGGAAAAGGCAGTCTTGAGCTTGGCTTTATTGTTTGCAAAATGGCTGCTCTTTCCATACCACATTAGAAGTTTTGGCTTGTCCATATTCACAATGCAGCCACAGCCCCTAAGTAATCTTGTGTTGACTGAAATGCAAAGGACTTAATCGTACATTTTGCAGGTTGACAATATCTGTATCAAATTTCACGTCTAATATCAAATAATTCTCCTAAAGAACTAGTTTTAAACACCTACATTTAATATTTTATTTTTGTATTGACACAGTACACCTTATAATGGGTTGGTCTGCCTAGCAGCTAATCAGATGATGAGGTGATGCCATGTGGCACTTGGCCACGGCACATTCGACCTTGGAAGGCAGCATGGGCTGTCTCCCAGAGACGCAGAACATATAATATTATTTCCAATGCAATCAACTTTATCTGTGATGAACTTTTCATTTCTTAATGACATTTTCTGTAGTAAGTGTTTCATATTTAAAATATAAGGAACATTGTTGTTAAACACAAGGTCACTTTGTTTATCAGTAAGTATTACTTTTTCTGCTTTCAGGTATACGCTTTACTTGTCTTTGTGGTTTAAATTCAGCTTGAGACCTGCAGGAACACAGTAATTGTAGAGTCCCCATAGAAACTCTAGTGGGGAGCATCAGAGAGCAGGTAGTGAAATAAAATCAAGTGCCATGGTATATTTCTCCTTACAAGGAATGCAGCCACTCCTAATACATTTTTTCCTCCTCTCCTTTATTTTTCCTTTCCTTTATGTCCATTCATGGGCTACAAAGGCAGACGAACCATCAGCTCTCACTTCATGTGTAACACAGGCTTTGGAATTTTACCCAGTGTCTCTTTTGGCTGAAGCCATTAACTTTTTTTTTTTTTAATTATTATTATTATTAAAGGACAGCTTGAAAAAAATAACCTGGGCTTTATTCGAAGACCTTGAGAGATAGTTTGCCACGTTTATTGACAGATGGTTAGGACAATCATCCTCACTGTTGAGCATATTATGTCTTATTCTACTCTGAACATTCTACTCTAAGTATAATTCACAGCTGTTGATTTTCACTGTGCCTTTCTCTGCAGGTTATGGTCCCACCAGTACTCTGTGTTTTCTGTGGTGTGAATGAGAGACACTGATTTAGGAAGATCAGAGTAATGCCTCAAGATGCGTTTTCTGACCTTCCTAATTGGTGCTGTCATTTTGCTCTGGACCACCTCCAAGCTTTCAACATATTAAAAAGCCAGGTGGGGGCCTGCCCTGCTGATGGGTATTGCAGCTTCAGGCTTTGCTGAGCTTCTGACTTGACGTTGTCAGTCACAGGTGACAGTGACTTCTCCGGCGGTTGCCAGTGAGGTTCCCGTTCTCGGCAGCTTGTCCTTTCTCCCGGGCTGCACAGGAGCCGGCTGTTATCTGGGGGTGTCTTTGAATACAGCAGGCAGTACAGAAAGCTTCCCTGTGTCCTGCTCCAGGGTAGCTGCATCTGGGAGCAAGGGGACTGGTACTGACACCAAGGGTCCCTTGAAGGTCCCCTTCCTGAGTCCCAGGTGGTTCCCACTCTGTGTGGAGCTCAGCCTGCCTGTTCACTGGCCGTGGAGCCATGCAGTAGACTTCTCTCCACACAGAGGCGCACAGATAGAAGACAACCATTGGAACTAAAAATATTTATCGGTAATGCATCAAAAATGAAGAGGAAATTATACAAGCAAAAACTGCTTCCACCAGCAGTTGCATTCTGCCCATGGTTACTCTTATGTGTTCCCACAGGTCAGGCAAATGATTCGTGGATGAACTGCATCGAGACAGCGTGGTGGTCCAGTACTTGAGGAGACTCCACTGGCATTACTGAGCACCTTATCTTGTTTGAGTATGTTCAGCTGGCCAGGTGACTTATGTTGATCTGAAGGACTTCCTCCGCTATAGCTACTGATCTTGACATTTCAAATTTTATCAACAATATTTTATTGTTGATAAACTGTATTTCCTGATGAAAATATTTAACAGCACAGAGAGGCACACACTTTCAGCAGTGATTGCTGCTTCTTTTTGGGTAATGAATTTTTGCCATTTGTCTGTTAGCTAGTAATTAATCCATATAATGCAAGTTATGATGTACATATACACTATGATTGTTTCTTCAGAATTTACAAATTTCTTGGTTTGTTAAGTCTGCACCAGTACTTTTATCAACCAAATGTATTATTTCCTCAAAGAATGAAGTCAGGTTTGTTTCTCACAACTTTAAAAAAAATACTAAATTATTAATGTTATTTTCGTTGTTGAAGTCTTTGTTAGCCAACGTGTAGTAACTTCACAGTCTCTTACCTATGATTATTACTGTGGAACCATTTAACACTTGTTGGTGTCATCTCACTTTCTCTCATGAACACTGGTACAACACACTTCCAAAATCTTGGGATTTCTGTAGTATGCCAGGATTTTTTAATACCTAACTCCATCAGACCAGGTGTCTCCTCAGCCAAATCTTTTATGATTGTGAAATGCAAATTTTCTTGGCTACTGATCTGAAAATACTTACGCTTTACAGGTACTGTTAAAACCTTCCTCGGTTTGCAAATAGATGAAGAAGTTGTTTATCATCCTCATGCAGTATGAATACACAATTCTGTTTCTTTCTGTATACAAACAACTATCTTCTCTGTAACAAAAAGCCTCCCTCAGAAATCAACAGTTTTACCTATACCCAGCCAGTAAGAGCCTAGGCCTTTGCTAGAATTTCTTGGTTTTCAATGTGTTTTGAAAAAAAAACTCCTTTCAAGTGCTGTTAGCACTTGCAGAAATCCAGTTTTTCCAGATTATTTTGAACACTCCTTATCCCTTTGTATGCTCCATAAATTCTCACTTTTATTGTGTGCCATAGACCTCCTTTCCAACCACACCTGCCTTCTGCTTTTTTTTCCCCTGTTGGGGAAGATTTCTAAGTGTTACCTTCAAATTCCCTGTTAGGCAGGAAAAGCATTTAATCGTGCCTGTCTTTTTCACAGCGACAGAACCACAGATCTTCTCCACCTTGTAAACTTCTAGCAGTGAAATTTCTATTAAAATTTTTATTGTAGCTTTCTCCTGGAGAGTCATATTTTTCTGATTGCTTGACTTGCGATCAGTTTAACCCATAACTTCCACTGTTTGAGGATTCACCATTTGAAGTGCCAATTTCACCTACAGACTTGCCCAACTTTACAGTTAAAACACATACGTACATAAAAAGCCAGGTTGGATGAGGCTTTGAGTAACCTAATCTAGTGGAAGGTGTCCCTGCAGTGGGGTTGGAACTCGATGATCTTTAAGGTCCCTTCCAACTCTAACCATTCTATGATTCTTTAATATCTTACCTAAACACCTGTCTCATAGGCACTAACCAAATGTACCTATATACATCTAGAGATACATACATGTGTAAATGCTGTATACCTATTTACATGTACACATACATACATATACCTGCGTATACACATGCATATATACAGTCATACATACATTCACCTATATACAATTGAATTTTCCCTAAATCCAGAGAAGCAGCTTTTCTAAAAATGTATGCGTGTTGCATCTAACGCAGCATCCCAGCAAAGAGCTGAGGCTATCGATGTTGCCCTCCCAAGATGAAGACGTGTTTTTCTGTGAGTCCGCCTCTGACTGGTCACTCAGTTCCTCCACCAAGGGCAGCCCTACCTCTCCCATACTGACCAAAAGCTCTGTTAATATTTGGACAGGGTTGGCTCTCCTGAGCAGTATGTGTTAAGAGATGGGAGGCAAAGGAGTGCAAGTGGGTGACACAAGGGCTTCTATTCTGAAGTCCTTACAAGTTGCTCAGACTTTGGTTTAGCTAAAAAGGAGAGAGAAAAAAAAAAGATTCAGGTAAGATTCAGGAAGACCAAAGTGGTGCAAAACATCACCTCATGCCGCCTTCCACCAGAAATAAGTCTCCAGCTCTTTGGCTCCCCACCTCCCCCTCCAGGATCCTGGGACATCCTGACCTCCATCTGTCCTGAGCGGAGGTGCAGGGGAGAGGAAGGTGTCCCTTGCTACATCTCACCCACGAGGGAAGCATCTCAGTATTTTAAGCTCCTACCTGCTCTTCTCCTGAGCACAATGAAGAGGACAAAGATGAAAATGACGGTAGCAATGAAAGCCCCCACCAGTCCTTCCGATCCCGTTTGCTCTGTAGAGGAAGAGGAGGATCAGTGATGTTAGGTTGGCTGGAGCAGCTGAACAGCCAGCGAGGTGTCACAGTTAGATGAGCTCCCCCAGCAACTGACCACGTTAATGCTCTTGTCGGATACATAGCTGTGACATGAAACACGTGAGCTAAAGCCACACAGACCCAGGGCCAGTTATCCTGGCTGGACTTAAGTGTTGTAACTTGTTAAACTGCAGTGTTGCTTGCTTTTCCCTGCTGGGTCAGGAGAAGACACAGGAGCAATCTCCCATCAGCAGGGAGAGTGAGAACCCCAACAGCTCCAATGGGGAGAAGGGTATTTTGCTATAGTTCTCAAGCAGCATTGGTCTCCAGCTGAACATCAAGTCCAGTTGGGCATCTAACTCCTTGGGACATGGCTGTTTTCTTGTGCCTGTCCAGCAGGGTCCAGCCCACATGTTACAAACTTTTGCTCTGGTGCTCCGCTTTGGGTCATAAAATCTCTTTTCCTCTGAAGGAAATGAGACACTTGCTCCCCAAAAGCTTCAGGGAGTGAAATAAAAGCTAAAGAAATGAAAGGCAAAGGAAAGAGGAGGATAGAGGAATGGGTATGAGGTGACCTTAGAAGGAAAGCAGGGAGAAACAGGCAGATGTGGTGTGACTCAGAGGTTTTGATCCCTGTGGTGGGTAGATGAGGTGGGAGGAGGTCCGGGCAGGATGAAGAGCTCGCCCCTCTACCCCTGACACCTACCTGGTGCCTTAAGGTGGGCACTCACAGAGATGGGCTCTGCCAGGGCCACGTGTGAAACATGGCAGCTGTAGATGGCTGGTGCCTGTGCTGTGGTTGAGCTGATGCTGAGGTAGGAGGTGATGCTGTAGGTGCCGTCTCGGCTTTGCCGGTGGCTGGAGAAACGTGCGTGTGAGAGAGGTACTTCTGTGTCATCTTCAGAAGTTTTCTGTGTCCAGCTCACCGAGACATCCAGGGGGTAATAGCCAGCAATCTTGCAGGTCAGAGTAGTCGTCACATCTCTCTCGAATGACACCACTGCTGGAATGACACGAACTCTTGGAGGCTCTGGAGGAGATAAAGAGGGAGTTGACGTATGGTTAGCAGAGTACCAAAGTCCCCATCCACAAGGGAGAGAAGACGGGCTGCCTGTGACAATAAGTGTTGGTAGCGATGGGATAAGGGTGCAGGGCAAAGTTTCAGTGCCTGGGGACATGGGACTCCTGTTGCCCCAAGGCATTTCCCTTCCTCACCGGCCACATGCAGCTGGATGATATGCTGGGCCTTGTGCAGTTGGGTGGACACCAAACAGATGTACGTCCCTTCGTCTCCCACGCTCACTCCTTGCAGGCTGAGTGATGCATCTCCACTCCCCAGCAGCTCCGCCACATCCACGTGGACTTTTGGTTGGGCTGCTGGCCCTGTGCTCCCCACCTGGTACTGGAAAACGATGCGGCCGCTGCCTTGGTGCTGCCTCCTCCACTCCAGGGAGGAGAGCGAGGAGCCGGGAGCCAAGGCAAAGCGGCAGTCGAGGGTGACTGAGCCGCCAAGGTGCGTGTGCAGGGAAGCGTTGCGTGATGATGATTGAAATTCAACTAGAAGCAGAAAGAAGGGCACAGGGAAGCAGAGAGTTAAACAGATGTCATTAAAGAAGGGACCCTCAGGTCGGAAGGGCTGGTGGAAGGACTGGCAGTGAACTCCACACCTGGAGGAGGAGGCACAGGCAGTCTATGTGATGCCCCAGGGGCCATGTGGACTGAAGAGCTGGAGGAAGCCAGCCTGGTGGGGTTAGTGGGGCAGGGAGACAGGTGGACACCAAGTGCACGTCATGGTCTTGAAGGTGCTTGTCATCCTCAGGGGCTAGGGCATGGGAAACCTTGAGAGGAGGCATGGGAGGGGCAATATGCATGACCCCTTTTTCCCTAAACACCAGCTCCTGGCACCCCTCGGGTCCTGGTGAGAGGTGGGGAATCCTAGGGAGGCAGGGTCCCCTCCCCTCATGTCCCTCAGGGCTGTGGGGGTACCCTGGGCCATCTGGTCACCTGTGGTCAGCAACGTCCCCTCCTTGCTCATAGGAATCCTCAGCTTTGGGTGCAGTGTTGCATTGTGCTCCTCTGCCTCCTCCTGGCTGCTGCAGTGGGGTCCTCTGAGCACCAGGACGATACTGATCCCGCTGGAGAGCTGCAGGGTGGCCATGAACCAGGAGGTACGGCAGGGCCCCTGGCCAGCCCACTGGGAGCTGTACGGGGAGATCTCGCAGTTCACCTCCTCCCCTTCACAGTCTGCGTGCAGCAGGGACTCTGCATGTGGGATGGATACCAACTGGGCTGCAAGGATAGAGGAAGAGGCTTAACTGTCTGAATCCAAAAGGGGAAAGAAAGTGCAAGCTGATGAGACACATTATTTTGGAGGAGCATCATGCGCTGTTGGGGTCAGTCAGAGCACAGAAATGCCAGGCTAGGCTTAACAGATGAAGGCCTGCAAAGAATACGCGAGGTTTGTCATGACTGTCTTACACCCCTCTGTCTGTTGGTTGTATTTTATCCCGCCAGATTGCACAGAGTTCACTCTGAGCAAAAGAAGCTGTTAGGAAAGGAGAGTAAACAGAGCAGATTCCCAGGTAAGGAAAGAAAGGGTGGCAAGAAGGCGGGAGCAGCTGGATGTACTGGATGGACACTGTATCTGTGCTTTTGATCGCAGATGGGCTTAAGCATAGGCGTAAGCATCCTAGTGACCTACACGCTTTCCATGGACATCACTGGAAACTAACTCAGTGTCTGCAATGCCTGACGGTAGCCTGGCTGTAGTGCGCTTGAACTCACCAATGCACAGTCCATCCACACCACCTGAACAAGAGCTTGGACCCAGGCTAATGGATCCTGCTGGGCCTTCAGCTTCCTCTCTGAAAATGCCTGAGAACCTTGAATAAGCTTGTACTGAAGCACACGCTTGCAAATAAGCTCTGTGGGCAGCGAAGAAGACCACAGCAAAGTACAGGCTCAGACCTTTGCTTGACTGTTTTTGCAAAGTTACGTGTGAAGCAAGGGCTGCAGAGGCTGGACTGCAGGTTGGCACCCATGAGTGGAGTAAGGAGAGCCAAGCCACACACAGGCGGCCCTCTGAGCAGGACAGCTCTGCTTCATGCCCACTTACCACCACGCTTCCTGCTAGCAAAAAACACCCACATGACTGAAGATGTGCACGGTCTTTATGGGTGCAATAATACTGCATAGTGGCATAATTCCCGAGTTGGTTTTGACAAAGTATTTCCCAAGAGACAGGCAATCTAGGATAGCCCCAGCAGGAGAGAGGTGCCTCAACAGGTACCTCAACATCTTCCACAAAGTTCATTTCTTAGTCCCAGTTGCTGAATTTAGGAAATCATGTGTGAAACTTTAGTGGCCGTTCAAAAACTGTCTGAACTCAGTTAAAGAAAAATCTTGTAGAAGCTGAGTGCATGTAAGTGGCCAAAACCCCGGCAGCAGCTCTCCCACCCCAGCCCTCCCTCTCACCTGAGGCTTCAAAGACAATGGGAGAAGAGGGGTCACGATTTTCCTGTGGGACTTTGTACTCAGTTACATCATCCAAGCTCCCGTCATCTCTCACATTGATGCCCCTCAGCACGAGGGTCGCAGGATGCTCGGAGGACGAGCCACCCGGGGCACGCCGCAAGCCTTGTACGTCTTCCCCCACGTAGGAGCAGCCCAGGGCGATATCCACCCTGCGAAATGGAGGCGCTGTTGTGGGAGCTTGCGACAGCCCTTTAGGGAAGGAAAAGAACCGGTTGAGTGCGTGAACCCCACTGCAAACAAAGACGAGCGTATGAGTTTCTCTGGGATGGGGGGATAAATAGGGGAGAGGCTGGGGGCTGGAGGCAGCTTTGGGGTTGTTCTCCCAGCCCTGCTGGCAGGGGACCCCTCTAGCCCTGCGCCACCCTCCTCTGGTCTTTAGGAAGACCCTAGTTTTCCCTGTGAGACCTTCACTGAAGGGGTGGTGGAGGGTGTGCGAGAGCAGGAGGATCCCCGGCCCCCGCCCCCGTTCCCCGTCCTGCCCACAGCACCAGTACCTCTGCCATCCTGCCCCGCAGCGCGGCTGCCTCCGAGCCCCGGTATCCTCCCATTACGGGAACCAAACCGGGCCCTGGCCGCAGCGCTGCCCGTCCTTTCACTTTCGCTCTGGCGGAATGGCAGCCCCGACCCTTAAACCCCTTAACTCTGCCTTTGCCGAGCACGGGAGGCTGGAGGCGGCAGGGAAGTGGTGTGCCATCAGCTGGGATCGAGGAGCATCCCAAAACCCGCAGCTGGGCAGCTTTTGCCGCATCCCTCTTTAAGGCAATGTTGTATCAGCGTTTCCCACCGCACTTTCGGCGTGCGCACTCCTCTCCTCCGGACCTGCTGAGCAGCCATTGAAAGCAGCCACATCTCTGTCCACTTGCTTTTTAGAAGGCTCTAGCTTTGCGAGAGTCTTGGAGGTTGAAGCTGGTTGTGGGTTTGTTTTTTGTTTGTTTGTTTGTTCTTGGTTTGGGTTTTTGTTTGTTTTGTCTCCCTGCAAATTCTTCTTCAGCTGCAAAGAAGGCGGTTTGCTGTGCGGCAGTGAGCCAGCCTCCCCTGAGCCTCCAGCAGCGTGTGGTGCCACCACCAGCCGCCAAGTCAACCCTGGCTTCCTGGGAAAAAACATCACAGGGAAAAAAAGCTGCGAGAGAAGAAACGGAGGAGCTTTGGCGGTATTTTTAACTATTGGTTTTCCCTGTCTTTCAGACACATGGAGAGAAAATGGCTGCTTCTGTGCTGGGCTGTTCCCCTCTTCACAGCCTTGCCAGCCCTGCAGTAACACAACTCACCCTTGCTGCTATAATCATGTATACACACCTGCAGGAAACCATGATCACCCCCAGCCCCAGCTCTTCCAGTACAACTTCCTGAAAACCAGCCCAAGAAGCACCTTGTGCTGGCCAGATACGGGTTCCTGATACAGACTTACCCCTTGCATCCCAATCCCACCCTCACTCACCACTTCATTCCTTCTTGGAACAGCCTCACAAGGAATATTAATTTTTGCTGCTGAAGTTATGCTTAGGAGCCCTGAGCTGTCAGACATGGCTCTCCCACTGCCTCACTGGGGTAATAACACACACCTACCAGCACACCTTGTGAGTCCTTGCATCCCTCTTCAATCTGAGATGCGCTCATCTCTGCTCCCCTGGTCCTACATGTTATTATCTGGCATTATCTGTGTGCTCTCAGAGGGCACCCACATATTCCCGTTGGCCAACAAAGCACAGCACAAGCGTTTGTGCAACTCCTTCACCCCAGGCAAACGCAGAGGTGTCTGCTAAGGCAAGGCTCCTTTCTCTGACGTGTTCCTCTGTCTGCTCCAGTGTGGCCAAAACTGCGTTTCAGCAAATTTTCCCATTAGCTGTTTACACAGAGGAGCTGGGGGAGGTCTGCAGCCTGTGCTGTGGCTGTGAAACGAGTTGTGGGTCGTTGCCTGCAGAGAGGTTCAAACACAGCAGTTGTGACAGACTTTCTTTTGCAGAGCAGTAAACTCTTCTCTATAATCAAATCCTTCCAGACATCTGCTAAAGCTGGGACTCTCTTCTGTTCTCTGGAGTTGCAATCCATTGCATGCTGGATCAGCCTGCCTAAAACAGCTCTGGTAAAAAGTTGTGCAACTTACTAAGCTGTCTGGTAAATGTAACTTTACTGCGTAGGTATCATGTTCAAGAGAGCCATTCAGTGATTCCGCAGCTGCTGGGAGAGGACTGTGTATCTGTTTCATAGGCAGGGAGACGAAAACCAGTTAAATAACTATGTGATGACAGATAAGGAGGTATCGATGGGCAGAGGCCTCAACAATAAGGGGAAAGCGTATACTAATTGTGATGAGAGAAGCAGCAGCAGACAATACCAGTAGCCAAAGGGCTATCTAGTTCAGCTAAGGGAAGCGGGTGAGGCCAGGGAGGCAGGTGCCTGTGTACTACAGGCAATCTCAGGTGATGATGCGGAATCGTAGAAGTGGTGATGGCAGGAGACCTCCAGAGGTCTGTGATCCAGGCTCTGGCTCAGTCAGGTCACTATGATTCTGTCCGACCAAGTCTGGAAACCCTCCAAGGGTGGAGATACCACCTCCTTGCTGGGTACCTGTTCCAGTGCTGCATTATCTTGCTGGTAAAAAAATTGTTCCTGAAATTCAGCCTGACCCTCCCAAGCTTCAGCTTGTTGCCATTGCCCCTGGTTATATCGGCTGCTACTATTGAGAAGACCTTGGCTAATATGGGGTGTAAACTACCTATCATGCAAGTAACAGAAATCTGGTAGAGTAACATTTGTCCCTGGTATTAAAATACTCTGCTGCTCAGGACTGCTAGGAAGGAAGATGAGGACAGTGCATTATCATCACATGAATGATGCTATAGGTTGTTTTGGTGAAACTTGGAAAGTTAAAAGAGGCTTTCCACTGGTGCAGCTCAGAGTCAGCTGTGAACCATTCAAGTTCATAACTGGATATGTAGGGAGAGAGCTAATATTAAAAGAGACAAATCCCAGTAAGAACTATGCTGCCATGGAGAAACTAACTTTAGAGTTATGGACCAGTGAATAATCTCTGATGATCATAACAGGGCTTAGGCCTATAATTCTCAATATGACAGACAACAAATACCTTCACAAAACCATCACTGAACCTACAAAAGATTTGTTAGTGGTAAATAGCAATCAAGTCATAGAGCAGGTGGTCATCAAAAATAAATTTGGAGCGTGTGATCATAATTTCCTTGCATATAAATTAAGTGGGAAGCTAAATAAGAATAGGGCCATAGTGTATATGCAGATTTTGTTTCAAAAGAAAAAAACAAAACATCGAGGAGTTAAGATAACTCTTTGACGTGGACTGTAGCAGTAAGGAAACTGGATGTGAAAGAAGCCCAGAATTTCTCTGGGCAATGCACAGCGGCTGTGGAACTTGCACCCCAAGTAAAGAAGCAAAAATCCCTCTGTAGCTGCCTGGCTGAACAGCCACAAGGTTATTAGAAGTAGGTGAAGAGTAAGGAGAGAGATCGGCAGAGAAAACTCTTCAAATGTTTGTAGACATAGTGTAATATCAATGGGGAAAATGGATTTTTAAAAGAAGAGAAAGTTCTTCATAGAAGTAATTAACTGAACCAGGAAGGAGAAAGTGGCTATGCAAAGAGGATGGGGTAAAATATAAGAATAATTGTTAAAATTAAATACATCTAAAAGAAGTATAAGTAATAGATACAAATGATAGTCTTCAACCAGGAAAAATATAGTGAAGAGTGGAGCAGAGAAAAGGAGCGTAATGAATGAGGGTACAGGAACTACCACATCTGATTTGAAAGCAAAGCAAACATGAATGGGACGAAACTAAGAAAACAAGCTAATACTTGGATTTTGTTGTTTTTTGGTTGTTTTTTTTTAACATAATAATTTTTATTCTTAAGAAAGCAACAAGGAGTTACAGAGTTTTGCAAAATAACAAACACTGTTCAGATAAATATCACCTTATCTGTGCTCACTCAGTTTTGTGAGTTGGAGGCCTGGCAAGTAATCTCTCCCTCTAACCCAGACTCATGATACATGTCAGCCGGTGACCGACCCCTTCACCCCTTAAGAATTATCATCTGCCCCATGTTACTGTATAATACTGATTGGGGATTTCCAGCCCCTTCCTCGAGGAGAAGCATTCATCCAGAAAGTCTGTTGTTGGCAGCAAATGTTGAAGGTGGAGGAACACCAGAACTGGTGACTATTCACGGTTTTACAGTGGACTCTCAGCCTGTGTTTCAACATTCTGCTGGCTGAATAACCCAGAACAGAGGTTGCTCCACAGAGTGAGGTCCACTGTAAAAATTACAATTCAAACCAGTCTGCCTTTCACTGAGTGTACCAGGCTCATCCAAATATCTTACTTTGTCAGTCAAAACCAAATAAACTAAACTAAACTCTCCATTCCCCTTATGTCTCTGCTCTCCTCAATGTCACTCCTATTCTCCTAGTGCCTGAACCGTTTCCTCCAAAACATGTGCAGCCGCACCACCTCTTCCACATCCCAGGTCCATGTCCATTCATTCCTGTGCCCTTTTACCGTTCTCCACTTGTCTCTCTCCATGACACCTACCATCAGGCAGGTCTTCTCTATCCAAAGCTGTTACCTTTCCCGTTTCCCATCTTGTCCTGAGCCTTTTTGCCCTGCTCTGACCTCTCTGATTTCCATGATGCCATCGTTTCTGTTCCCATTCTTCCAACAAGTGGACACACTGCAAAACACATCAGCCTGGAGTGTGTGGAGTATTGCTCTCACCCTGCATGAGACATGTGGGCAGCACAAATGAGGTCAAAGCCATGAAGGTCTGGAGTGTGAGGTCTGGACCAAGAGCAACCTCACAGCTCTGCTAGACTTGGGTCCTCTTTTCCAGTTCAGATCCCACCACAGCAAAAGACCTGTTTTGAAAAACACCAAATGCCCTGTTTCTTCTAATCAAATCCCTCAAGTTGAAATTTAAGAAGAGTTTTAACTTTCCATCGGTCAAGTTACGAGCTTAAATTAGGAGCCTAAGGACTTGCTGAACCCAAGTCGAAGCTTCTTGCCTTTTAACTAAGTCGGTGTTGTCCTCAATGAATATAGCAGGCAAGTTCAGTTCCTTGCAGCTCTACAAAGCTTCTGCTGACTCTGCTGATGAGCAGGACCATCAACATCGACATAGCTTGGCATGCATCCTCTGATTAATTAAACTGCATCTGACACCAGTTCACAGCTCTCAGCTAGTGTTAAATGCGAGATAAAGTCAGCAGTGGCTGCCAGCTGGAATTTGCCAGCTGGGTATACACTGGTACAAGCGTGATCTTCACTTCCCTGTATAGCTTTTCCTCTTGCAGGGTCAGGTTAACCTGACTAACCTGAAGATGACCGTGGATTTTCAACTTCTGCCATATATGCTGAAGGTTACTTAACCAAATTTACATTTTACAGAAGTATGTATTCATGGGGGTGAATTTGTCTCTTTCTCTTTCTGTGAATTAACAGCCCGTGTCTCTCCAGCAAACCCTATAGCAGTACCAGAAGGAAAATGATTTAAGTCCAGCTTCCTAGAAGTAATGTACACCCTGCCTGATCCCAAGAAGTAGAGGTTGTGACATTTCTGTCTCTAACTCAGTCACACTGGCACTAAAGGTAAAATAAGCTCATTAAAAACCTAACATAAACCAAAATCTCAGGGCAGCTACATCAGTTTAGAGCAGCTAAGTGGCTGAGCAGGTGCGACATGGTTCACAGGTTGAACTAACTTTTTCATGGTGTCTTATATCAGCCTTGAATACTGACTTACTCTGAGACCCTATCATTTAAAGCATCTTTTTTTTTCCTCCCCAAATTGCCCATAACTTTGAGTGTCTCCATTGAGTGCACCCAGTATAGGTACTGGCACACGATTTTTGGACATCCATTTGCAGCTGCTGTGGTCTGCAGCTACACATTATGCTGTAGCTCAGCATCTTTCAAAATCAGGTACGAAGGATGAGGTCCTGATGTAGAGGCACTGCAGCTCAGCATCTTTCAAAATCAGGTATGTGATACACGAAGGATGAGGTCCTGATGTAGAGGCCAGTCTAGGAAATGTGGCCCTATGTTCTCACATTTTTCATCTTCCCTGCATAAAACAGGGTGATAGTATTTGGCAACCTATTTCATAGGGGATGTTTTGAGGACAGGTGAATTTTTGTAACTCATTTTAAGGGATGGCCAGTTTGGTTTTGAGCAGTGGCTAGGACATAGGATGAAGGATCAGAGCACCCAGCTTCAACTGCTCCTGGCCCAGCTTAGGTTCCCTGTGCTCATTTGCTTCAGTTTCCTCTGCATAAAACTGGGATGCTTCTGGTTGTGTTTTCTACAGGATACCTGCGCAGACAAGTTTATTCTCACGTGTAAAGCATCATGAGACTTCCTAGAAAGTAACTCTAGGGACAGAAAACAATACCATTAAAAAAACCCAAACAACTGCTGCTACTCCTGCTCCTGGGACCAATCCACTGTTCCCACAACTGGATAATATGTTCCTGAGGGCGTGTGTCTGAAGAAGAAAACATCTTTGTGCATTTGAAAATCTCACAGGGACCACTTAAGCCGCAAGTATGGACAAGGACGAGCTGCGTTCAGCATGGTTTCGGTCACCACATAGTTCGTGCCTTTGATTACCAAGTACTCAGCTCAGGTTCATCAGCAATCTTTATTGGTAGGAGAGGGCTCCTTCTTGCATAGTCTGCCCCATCCTAGAGCTATTCTGAGATTGGGGATGGCGAGTGCGATGCGTGTCCATCCATCCAGGCCAGTTGTCACCTGGCCAGCCCAGGCAAGGAGAGCAGTGGTCTGGGCTAGCAGACTTCTCAGCTCCTGGCAAGGTCCTTCTGCCCGAGACGGTGAGATGAAAGCCAGACCTCATGTCCCGAGCTCGTACTTCTGACTATGAGCCTAAAAAAGAAAGGGGCGTGAGTTGGCACAGCTCTGGCCATGCAGTGGCTGGAAGCTGCTGAAACGATTTACGGCCATTTCAGAGGAATTCCACCCACCATCACAACTATGAGATTTCTAACTAAAGCCTCTGAAACGGGTTTAAATAGTGTAAAAAGACAGATGCTCTTGGTAACATGCCTGCTTTCTCTCATCTGTTGCCTCAACAAGTACATTCTGTTTTTAAATTAGTGTATTCATGAAAAAATACACCGAATCCTAATCATTCTTCTGCTCTGTAAAAAAGGAAAAAATCTTCATACTCCAGCCCATTTAACTGAAGTGAATATTATTCTTATTGTTCCTGAATGGGTTGCCGAATGCCTTTTCTTTTACAGAAAAAAAAATAACGTTTCTTTGACAAATAGTTTGACAATTGCTTACGATTACAATTTGCAATTTACAATTGCAAAACTGAGTAGGTAAGGCATTCTAAGAATGTCTCCAAATATTTTTTTGATGGCTTTGCTGAATTTTTAAATAAAAACAGAGTAGTAAACCGAAAAATATAAAAAGTGAATTGAGCCCCTAAAACGGCTAGCTACTTGGTGATTTCTAACAAAGAGCAAGTTTGTTTGCTTTGCTTTGGTTTGAATGTTCCCATGAGCTCAGCTTTAGGCTTGCACTCAAACGCTGTGCTTAACTAGGCACGCTTGCCTGAATCAGGGCCCTAAATGATGGTCTGTGGCTGTGCCGCTGAGTTCCCGAGTCTTAATTTATTCACTTGACTTTGGGGGGACCTTTTCTTTTGCTCACACCTCAAACAGATTACCAGTCCCTAGGCTGGCATCTACAGGAGGGCATCTACCTGTGCTCCCAGAACTCAGCTTTTCAGCCGAAACGAAGGTGTTTCAGACTTGGTCGAGCTAGGTATAGTAACTGCTCTTACTTCTCTCAGAAACATAGTACAGGAGCAGCAGCCTACCTTCAAGGTTGCAAAGATGCTGTTTCAAACAAGATCCTTATTGCTTTCTCCAGGAGGCTGTATTAAGCAAGGAACAGAAACAAAAACTGAAAGCACGCGGTATCAGTGAGCAGTGGATGACGTTTTTACCATTAAATGAATGCAGGAAAAAAAAAAAAGATACAGGATGTTGCAAACAAAGCTGGGAAGAAGACAGTTTTGTACATCCAAAGGAGTGTTGGAAGCAACAATCTTTACACCCCAATTCCCAAATCTTTTCAAGGGCCCTGAAAGGAGCACGGTGGAGGGGAAGCAGGTTGTTCAGACTCTGCGCTTGAAAGTAGAAACCAAAGTCTTTTGAGTCTGCTCTCGAGACTCGCACATGCCTGTCAGCAGCACGGGGTCCGTCTTGTGCTCCACTTGGTAGAAGGGACAATTCTTCAGGTGCTCCGACATGCACGCGACGTCGTTGCGCTGCCATTTGTTAACCCTGGAGAACAGGCTGCTGAACTGCCAGATCTAATATGGGAAAGGGGAGAGAAATTGGGGAGAGAAAATGGGAATGTTTGTAAAAATAGAAGAGGATCTTAAAAATCTATATATGCTTATATTGGGTGTGCATTACTTGTACAGGACAGGCTAGTGAGCATCTGATTGTGCAGGGCTGGCATAGCAAGTGGAAATGGGGTCTGTATTATTACGTACCTCATCCTTGCTGGTTTTGCTGCTTTAGTAATCGCCTGTCATTTTTAAGGGGCAAATACCCTTCTACAGTTTTTGGTGACAATCCAGTGCAGGGCATGAGGAAATCCAGGACACCCGACCACTGCACCTCTACAGCAAACTCCATCATATGTACAGTCTGATCCAAGAGGTTTATAAAGCAAAGTGACTACAGCATGCTTGTGTGATACATATCTCAAAGAAGCCTGACTTCATAAAGACCTTCCAAAGCATCTATCAGCAACTTCAAAGTAATTAACATTACAACACTGTTGTTACTCACCCCACCCCAGAACAAGCCTGGGAAATCTAAGGTTAAAGTTATTTCCTAGAGGACATACACCCTTGTAAAAAATAGAAATGTGCAAAATTTTTTGATTCTGCTTGCAGTGATACTGTGTACCATTTAGTGATATACTAGCATGTAGAGATAAGACTGTGATTAAGTCACTTCAATATTTGCTGTATACCACTAAATCAAATTAATTTTTAAAGTCATAGTTCTTCTCCCTAAAAACGTTTCTTTCTGTGGAAGAAGGACAGTATGCGGGTGTGCTATGCTTAAGATTACCTGACCCTGTCCTAGTCCTAAGTAGTCATAGCTCTTATACACAGTAGTCAAGAAATTCAGACTAATTACAAACAGAATGTTTTCAAGCAGAATCTGTGCATTGGAAACAAGATTCCTGTGGGGCCAGTACAGAGACCTAACATGAAAAGGGTTGGACAGTCCTTAAATTCAATGCTGCTGGTTTGAAATTGTGCTGCAATAACTGAAGTTAATTGCTATATGATTGCTCAGGCAGAATTTCTTCCTTTTACCGAAGGAAGCCACATCCTCCAGTAAATTATTTCAGTGGCTAATTCCTGCTTTGGATTGGGCTAATTCAACTTGCAGCCACCAAACTTTGTTACCCAGATTTTGAATTCACCACACTTCATGTTTTCTCTTAATAAAGAGTATTCCTCTTAATAAAGAGTCCTTTCTCTTAATAAAGAGTCATAAACTTCTAAGCTTCCGTTTGATAAGAATCAATAGGCGGAGATCCTCAGAGGTCTGCTTGAAAGCCAGGTCCTTAGATCATTTCTGGGAGTCTTCCCTGGATCTCTAAATTATTTGTTCCTAGATCTCTTTCTTGTCTGCTTGGTCATGCTTGAGTGTCTCGTGTTATTCTTTCAAACAGTTTTATGTTAGAGCAGCTGCAAGGCTATCAGCTAGAAAAAAAAACTGTAATAACTATTGTTCAACCGGGCTTATACTGAGCTGTGTTTACATATTTCTTTCAGACTGCCTACACAGCCAGTGAGGGTGGTAATCTTCCAGCACAAGCAGTGGTAGACCAGCTTTGCAGAAGGTGGCTTCCTATCCCCGTGCTGCTTTCTCAGGTGCTCACAAGGCAATCAGTCAGACACTCATGGCAATCCTGTGAACTACTAATCACGAAAGCCCTCAGTGGTTGATGCGAACGCCTGACCTCCTTTCACAGCCACGTCTCCTTGTTCTTTACCATTTTGGCATTCTAAAGCGTGTTTTAGTTTTGACATACCCTAAATCAGCTTGTAAAGAACAAAAAAAGAGCACGAACTTCAAGTTCTTAAAAAATCCATGTCTTTAAATATCAGGAATTCTCAGTTCCTAGTGCCCAAAAACAGTGCAGATGAAAACAGGTTACCTAAGACAAGCTACGGTGGGGACTTTCAGCATGTCAGAAGATGTCCATTTACACCTTCCTACCTTTGCTAGATGTACTGCATTTTACAACCCCGACCCCTGACAATTATGGTGCGAATTCACAACCTCATGAACCTTCCCCACATCTGCATGCTTATATGCAGCATCCCTTGCTATGCTTGTGTTTTATCTGGAGGGAACCCATGGCTGCCTTTTTCCCAGTGTCACAGTCACTTGCCTTTTTGCGAGCTTTCCACGAAGTACCGCCATGGGAATATCTTTTTTTCTCCCAGACCAGCAAGACCATTCCCCTCTCTTGAAGAAGAGTGGCACAGATGTCCCTCATCAGCACTGACACTTGCGACAGCTGAGATAAACTGAAGCTGTCCAGGAACCCCGCAATGTACTTGAGCACTTCCACTGGGAGGCTGCTCAGCGAGTCCTTATTTCTCCCTCGATTAACCACAGTGGAATTGCACTTCCCTGACTCAGCAAGGAGGGTGTCCACCTCTGGCTTTATAGCAAATGTCTTGAGAGGCTTGCTGTATATAACCTTGGCCTTAAGTCCATCAGGGCGGAAGTGATTTTGAACAAAAGTACATCCCAAGTAGGCCAGTGGGCAGCGATGCTGGAACCACCCATCCAGGCATGACTGGATATCCGCATGCACATTTTTGAAGTGGGATGGGAACTCGTCTCTCCTGAAGAAATGACTGCAAGTGAACGTGAAAGCTGAACTGCTTTTGTTGTGTCTTCTAGTTACACATTCAGTGTAGAGCTCCACGTGGAGTTCTGGTGGGCTTTCTTCATCCAGAATATCTGCTAGAACAGCACTGGAGGAGAAGGGCTCCAGAGGAAAGCTGTATGTCTGTGTTGCAAAATCCACAAAGAGTCCATCAATACCCCTTGCTTCGGAGATCTCGTGGCCTTTCAGCTCTTTTTCCAGTGCACACAGCAGTGTGGCTTGAACTATATTTGCCTTAGGTAGTTCTTCTAGGTTTATTCCCAGTTCTGAGGTATCCACTGACTTGTCTAAAGTTGGCATCTTGTGGCCCAGTGCATCTCCTAGTCGTGCTCTTTTTCCACAGTAACTGACTGGCACTTTGAAGGTGTAAACAGTCTTCACCTCCTGAGCTTCCAAGTTCCCATAGACAAAGTCTTTTTCTTTGGGCGTGCAAGCAGCTAGCTGGCCAAAGCGGATGAGCATTCCCCCATGATGTACCAGATACATGTTGTAATCACCTACACCAACTTCCTTCTTCAGCCTCTCCAGGACCCCTTCTTGCCAGGGAGCCAGTCCTGTCATTTCTGTATTTGGTGTAACTTGTTCAGGCTTTTGGTCTTTTGCCTCTGCTGTACCGTCAGGTACTTCCTTTGCCTTCTCTGTGGAGCTGGCAGCATGAGGGGCTGACGCTGTTTTCTTGGAAGCCTCCTCTGTCTCTTGTCCTGCGCTGACTGCTGAGCCCGTAACCTTGCAAGCCTGGAGCTCTTTGCTGAAAATGTTCTCCCAGGTTTTGTAACTCCCCAGATCCATTCCTTCTTTGTCCTTTGCCAACTGTTCACGCTCACGTTGGCTGAGCTCGGTCAACTGGCCGTCGCCCCCTTGGGAATCAGAGGCTACTCCGCCCACAGCACCTTCTTCCCCACCCATGGCTTCATCCATTAGCTCTTCCACTTCATCCTTTTTCCTCCACTCTGGAAACAAGTCAGCTATTTTCAAAGTCCTGAAAAGTATCTTCTGGTCTCTGAGCGCCAAGGCTGTGTCCAAGCACTCTTCATTCAAGGTCTCCTTCATAATATTCTTGTGGAGAGTTGTGTCTGAATCCACATTTGGCCAGCGATTCCACTCCATCGAGCAGCAGACAACGCTGGCTGGACAGACCTGGAGGTGCTTCGCCAGCTTGAAGCGGGCCATGGAAAAAGGGCAGCCATATGCTGAGTTGAGGCAGGAGACCTGCTCTAAGGGACAGAGCAATTGGTGCTCCTCCTCCTTGCACATATGGAAGGTGGCCCCACAATGAAAGCGGCAGCTGATCACCATGCAGGAGATGGAGGGCTCAATTGGTGCACGGCAGTGCCGGTTGAAACATCTCTCACAGTGCCTGTGCTGCCCAGGGGGAGCTTTCTGAGCCCGGTGCTGTGTGTAGCAAAGAGAAGAAGACAAGAGTTATTGCCTGAAGGAGCAAGAACGGCCACAGGCCGTCCGTGCCAATGCTTGGTTTCTACGTGGTAGGTGCTCACATGCGCCTCTAGAGGGAATAAGGCCACGGCCAAATGATTCCATACAATCATGTATCAGCAGCAATACCCACGGTACAGCGTGGCCTGACAGCAGCATGGGTATAGATAAGGTCCTTACTCAGTACCCCAGCAGAAGCAGCCATGGTTTGACAGCCAGCTGTTTTCTGTCTCAGTATTTACACGGGGTCTGTCTATACAAAGGTGCTAAAATCAAGATAGCCAGAGGCACAGTGAGGGGGGTGGGAAGGGGGCTGCAGGAAAGATGGGGAGGGCCTCTTTATCGAGGAGTGTAGTGATAGGACGAGGGGAAATGGATTTAAACTGAAAGAGAGTAGATTTAGATTAGATATTAGGAAGAAATTCTTTACTGCGTGGGCAGTGAGACACTGGAACAGGTTGCCCAGAGAAGTTGTGGATGCCCCATCCCTGGAAGTGTTCAAGGCCAGGTTGGATGGGGCTTTGAGCAACCTGGTCTAGTGGGAGTTGTCCCTGCCCAGGGCAGGGTGTTGTAACTAGATGATCTTTAAGGTCCCTTCCAACCCAAAGCATTTTATGATTCCTCAACACTGGTTGAGTAGGAAAGATGACATTTCTTTCTCCTCTCTAGAAAAATTAGCTGGTCATTTGGCCTCCCTCCTATAAAGACATGAATGTTGTGCAAATGAACCTCCCTTTGCTCTACACCAGCAAGGCTGAGAGTGAGGATTATCATGATCCCAGTTCCCAGTGTGGAAACCAGCCTGGGTAAAGGCTAATTTGCCCAGCCTTCTTTACTCTGCCTGCATGTCCTGGAACAGAGGCTGCAAGGGACTTTCCTTCAGGCAGGTTTACTTGCTACATTTACTTCCAGGTGTCAAAACCTGGAATAAGGCAATGCCTCAGTCTGCATTTTGGAGAGAAGCTCCAGAGTGCAGTGGGAGCTTGTTGGAAGGTTATACTCACCCAGTTAGATCCATTTTCTTTCACCTTTTTTTTTACAAACTGCCTTTCACCATTCTTCCCCTTCCTGTCACCAGTGAATGCCGAATAGATAGGAAGGAGGAGAAGAGGGCAGGTATGGTTTACCTCATCCTCAGCTCAGCACCACCGAGTGCAGTTAGGGCAGAAGGGGAGTGACAAAGGTCTAATCTCAACAGAGCTGCTCCCTTCCTGTGATGGAGCAGGAGCAAGGTCAGCTCTGAATGTGCCTTTTTGAGAAAGAATCCATCTTTGTTCCTTTGGGAACTATTTTAGAGCATGATCCTACAAAAACTGGCCACCACTGCTCTACTTTTTCAGTTCATCCTATGTACTTCTGATAAGTCAGTGTCAAACACTACCCAGAACTGAATGGGTGACCCTAAGTTGATCATATTTTAGATTCAGTTTATGAAGGTGTTAGTGACACCACAAGGGGCCAGAAAATAGGGAAAAAGGTCCCAGGAAGCAAGTAATAAACAATACCAGTCTCCGTTTCATAAATTCAGCTACCACCATCCAGCTCCATGAATTTAACATTTTGCAACCAACAGACTGGATTAAAAGAACAAGTTGAGGATGCCAGAACAAATGTTTCAGAAATTTCAACTAGCTTTATTATATAAACAGGCTAAATGTTTTCTTAAGGAAGACTGCCTCTCTGTTCTCACGTTTCCATATTAATGCGGTTTCGAAATATATAAGTTTTTCCTCTCCTTCCCTTAAAAACCTTTGATATAAAAAGGACATACAATTTTTCCTGATATCCAACAACAAAAAGAAGTACAAGAACATGACGTATGAAGATCCTTATATAAAGAGATATCACTATGAGTTTACTAGCTTTGTGTCAGAATGAACCACTGATCTGCTTTGCTTTAATTATGGTATTTTTTTGTTCTTTCCCAGTAAGTCAATTAAATCAGTTTAATTAGTAAAATTATTGCGCTTATGAGACCTGCTTCCAAAAGTTCTCATTTTCCCTTGCTGATAATATCTCTACCCTTGCAATAATTCCTCGCAGTATCTGTTACTTCTCCCTAAACACAGGAAAACAGAAGCATAGAGTCCGACAGCACGTAAATGGAGATGGTGATTACCATGAGGCATGCCTTCTGTTGTAAAAAACCTAAGAGCATGAGAAATGGCATTCTGGGTCAGACCAGTGGTCCACGCAGTGCAGCAGTCTTCTTCAACAATGTCCGTAAGAGATGCTGTTTAGGGGAAACATGTAGGAGGACCTCCTGTGGTCCTTTCCCCTCATACACAGTTGGTGGATTAGAGAACCAGAGGCTGCTCAGCCACTACTTGGAGCTGCTTCCCTGGAGACCTGCAACTGGTATCAGTAACTTGGCCCAAAGAAGAACTGCTACAAGTAGAAAAGTCCAGACTTCTGTCTTTTTGCTCCTTGCTGTAGAGGTTGCATTCTGGCTTGATCCAGTCTACTGCAAATCTTTGTGGAAAGGAAAAAGCTAATGATAAGGAGGAACTGTATTTCTGTTTCCAAACAGGACCCAGGGCACTTTTTTTTCAGTGAAAATGAGAAAAAGATTTATGAAAAGTCCTCGCACCACACTTTCTATGCAGTAGGGACTACTGTGGGTCCAGCAGACTCTCATTTGGCTCGTGGAAAAAATACACGTTATGAGTAAAATAATTTAGACTTTGGGTTGTTTTTTTAATAAGGTTAAAGAAAATACAATAGTGTCATTTACCGAGATGTGAGTGCTTGTGCAACCCCAGGCTTAAGTGACCTAGCCCTGAGGAGTGCTGTGCTGCAGAAGGAAGTAGGCTTAGGCTCAAGGGGAAGAGATACTACGTGAAGCTGCTTTCCTTCTCTTTCTTGAAGGTGCTCTTTTAACTTCTCGTCTTTCACATCTAGGCAGTGGAAGTCATAAACAACGCAGGAGAAGGAAAGATGTCTGGGAAAGGCCATACATGGGTTCCTGCAGTCACCAAATACCACACACTTGTGTTTGAATTTGATGTGCATTAATTGCTCAACACGTCTTTGTTCCATCCATTGTAACTTCCAACAATAACTACCACCTGTTTACATCTCTTAGTGAATCCCATTCCTCCACGGTCCTGCAGAATAAAGGAACAAGTCCTCTGTGGTCCCTCTAGCTAGGGACAAACTTAACACTCTGAAGTATAAGGCTCAAGTACCTTCATAATATTTTGTGACTCTCTGCTATAACATTCCCTGCCTTGTCCTGGGAAGCACTGGTCCCTGCACAGAGGTGACACCAGGGCGCTGGCCAGGGCGGCCCCAGCCACATCCAGCCCTTAAATACATGTGGTTTTGGGCGGCACCTGTCCTGCTATAGGCTGTTTAGTTACGTCTACTCTTGTGCGGCTCCGAGAAGCAGGAGATACAGATGGATTTATTTCACATTGGCAGCATCCTTGCTGTTCTCATTCTTGTAGCATTTTGCTGCAAATATAATATCTAAAAATAGTCCCAGCTATGACTTGCATAAGGTCAGAGGAAGGCTGGGTACATTACACCACAATAAAAACATGAATGTGTGAACAATACTTTCCACTGCAAAACCAACTCTTGGAGAGAAATAATTGATAAATAAAAATACATCTGAAACACAGCCCTTATGGTTCTCCAAAACCACAGAAAGGGCTGATGGCAAAGTTTCTGGAGAGGAGCCTGCTTTCACACTGTTGCATGCTGAAACGAACCCCATCTGAATCACATGTAGAGAAAGAAAACACATGCTTTGTTTTTCAAAAGTGACCATATCAGAGCATTCAGATGCAGGATAAGTCTTCATCATTGTTCAGATCTGCCATTTTTTGTTGAATTTACCTCAGCGCCAATTTGTATATGCTGTTCTGTTAGCCAAACGATTTCTATACCTCCCTTCTTATTGCCAAATCTGTGAAGCTGGAAGACAGGGAGAAGGGAGAGAAAACTTTTCTGGTATTTATCAGGGTTTGAATGCTGCTTCTATTCTGATTTGGTGGTAATCCGGTGCTCTGTATTTTAACTGATGATCTAGTTAGGTCTGTTGTTTAGTTGATGGTATTATTGTCAGTACACAAACTGCAACTTTCAGAACCCTGAGCAGAAAGTTTACAAATTCTTGCCTCAGTAAGTCTGATATATAACATCCAGAGGCAGGAGACACACTGCCTGTGTGGTGATATGTCAGGTGATGAAACATTTCTCTAAACCTGTACACTTCTTGTTTCCCTGCAACTTGAAAAATTTCCCAAGATCTGGGTTCGAAAAAAAAAAAATCAAACCAGAAATGCTTACTTGAATCATGTTCAAGCTACCGTGGAAGGAAAGTATGCAAATTAGAGTCCACAGTCTGTCCACTTTGGTAAATCTTTATTTTTAGACTGTCATGACAGCAAATCAAGTAAGGTTTAAAAATATACAGCTGCTGTTTTGACTGCAGATATGTCTGTGTCTGGAGCAGATCTGTTCAGTGACAGTAACTTCAGTTTATACATCAATTAAAATTTATTTTCAGTAAACATATATTTAATTCAGTTGCAGTCAATGAGCTAAAACAATACAGCTGTTTTCTTATTTGATATTTGCTATATGTGACTGATCGTATACATCATATCTAAGCTCTTCTCACAGAATCAAGGGATGCCATTTTAAAGAACCATCAAAAAGGGCCATCCGAAACCCCCACATAATTACCTTAAAGAGTGCCTCTGAGATGAGATGGCAAATGAACATAAAACAATATTTCTGAGATTTACAATGTGAGAAGGAGCTCTTAAAAATCTCAGGAAAGTTTGCATCCAAATGCTGGAGCCAAGAATGTTGAAGTTTATATATAATGTTACAACAGAAAAACATTTTCAAGGAATGTGAATACTTTTGGTGAAGTGTATTGGGCAGATAGGAGGTATTGTCTATTTCTTTTAATCCTTGTTATGCAGTCTGTAGTGTTTATCTCATTTTTGTCATAATACTTAAATCCTGAGGTGAATACGGAGTTATTGATTTCCTTATGGGTTTTTCAATATATTTACTATCTTAGTATCTGAGGGGGTTCACAACCAATAATGACTTTATCTTTGCAGTACTAGAGGTGTAATTGTGGTTAAAAGATACTATTACTTCTATTTGGCAGATGTAGAATTAAAGTATAGAAAGATGAAAATAAATAGAATTAAATATAATATTTTAAATAAATAAATAATTATGTAAATACCTATATACACACCAAGCATGGAGATGCTTAGGTTCTGATGTTTCCCTTGAAGTTGCATGCCTCCTGCACAAAACCCCTGGCAGGGACAGCTGTAGAATCACATTTTCTAGGAGACAATCTAAGTCTCCTTAAACTAGTGATTTTCTTCTCTTTTTGTGCAGTGCTCTTCCTCAATCCCTACGTACTTAACAACCTCAGCAAGAAATCAGGCTTGGGTCTCCTTTTGCTACACAGATATATTTATTTCTTGGATTTGAGGAAGAAAACACTATGCCATTGGAAACCATACTGTACCGCATTTGTACATGATTCTCAGGAGCCTAATTTTTCTGAAGTCCTGTCCTTCGATACAAAATAAAAAGCAAACCAAAGAATGCCACCACCTGGAATCACAGTGACCCCTAAGTTGAGTCAAGCTCCACATCTTGACACCCACAGCGGGGACAGCTACAGCTTGAGCGACTGCACGGGTGTTAGGCATAGTGGGTCACCGTTCTTCGTGGCACACCTGCTCTGCAACTGCCGTTCAGAATGATTTTGTATATACATGTTGCCGGCCAAGCTTTAAATGAGTCAGACAGTGAATACGGTACAGCCCAGGATAGGTGGAAAGGGAGAATAAAAGGTATGGATGAAAACTTCATCAATAGCACTAATAAATTTCTAGCAAGGATGTGCAAGACATAGTTCCTTTGAGGCTCTGACCTTGAACAAGTCCACATGGGTTTTATAGGGGCACTTTGATTCCAGGACAATCCTGAATCCCCAGTACAAGACATGCAGTGTGAAAAGGTTTTCTGTGAGACAACTGACCTGTTAGATAAGCCCAAAGATGGAAAGATGAGGCTGTGACAATTAGGGAGCTACTCCCTGTATTTTCTAGCTGGAGATCAGCTCGTTGAGCCTGTGGTGTTTCATGGCAATAACCACTGGTTCAGAGTTACTGAACAGGCTGGAATTGCTTTATACTGAAAAAAAAAAAAAAAGCTTTAAAATGACAGTAGGTCCACAGTACAGTGGATCAGCCAGGCACGTTCCTGGCTTTCCTTTCAGAGCTTGAGTGCCGCTCAGGTTCCCACAGCAGCACATCTGCTTCTCTTCAGCTCCCTAAACCTGGCCTGCAGGACCGTGGAGCTCCAGAGAAGCTGTTGCACCATCAGGCCTCCCCCTTGCCTGGTAAAGCTGTGCTGCATACATGCAGTGAAGAGGCACCAAAACTTGCTAGTGCGATTTCTGTCCAGTGAAATGCACTGGTGCTGTCATGGGGGGAGTAGGGGAGAGTTCAGAGCAGTGGGGCACAGGTAACACAGGGCACTGCTGGTAGAAACCCCACACTGCCCTCCCCGCTCTGAGACCTGAATCAGCAATATTTCTTCCTCCTTCCTACCCGGCGCAACATAGCCATAGCTCACCTGAGACAAACCCACCCCAAAACTGCAGGTGCTGAAGTGGTCCCCTGGGCTGGCGGTGCGGTGCAGGGCAGCCCAGCAGCAGGGTCTTGTGCTGGGCATGTTGGGGAGTCGGGTGGGAGACAGGCAGGAGAGGGAGAAGGGGGAGGCTGTGGCACAGAGCTGCTCAGCTGCTCCTCGGGCATGTGAAGGGTCCCTGGGCTGTCCTTGGTAGAGACGCAGTCAGGCAAACTCTCACTTTGCATGGATAACTGGGAAATGGGTTTGGTTCTGGTTTGAGTTCAGCAAGTGCTTTAAAACAACAGGTTCCAGTTTAGTTGCAGTTTGAGGGGAAAAAAAAAAAAAAGAATGGTCCAAACTGTGTTTTTTTCCTTTAGGCTCAAGTGCTATTTTATGCTCTGGTAACAATCTCATTAACATACTTCTCTGAAAACTTCTTGATATAATCAAGTGAACAGTTTTAAGCAAAACAAAAGAAACCCAGCCCAAGGCAGATGCCCTGCATAGAGAATTTCAGAGGTATTGGTCAAGGTCTAAGTCATAAAAACAAAAGAGAATAGATTCCTGAATAAAAATTGCTGAGCAGCCACAACTCTAAATGGTACTTCCAACGCTTGTGATTCTTACTTCATCATCTTATTATTCATTCTGAGTTACAAACATACAGTTTGCAGTCTGAAGCTACAAAACTCACCGTATTTTAAGGCTTAGGATTTTTGCCAGAAGATTGCTCTTGCCTCTCCTCTGGCCCTTACAGTATCTCCCTGTCTTACTTCTCAGAGTTTCTTGAAAATTACAGAAATTGAATTTTTGATTTATCATCTGCCCTGCTCCCATCTTAGAATCAGCATCTTAGTGTTTTTAAACCCCAGATACAGGGCTGAAAACTATGGCTAATACACTGAGTATATTATGGAGGGGTTTTTTTTTAGAGTAGTATGTCACAGAAGCGTTCACAGTTACCAGCTGCCTCTGTTTTAGGGTGTCATTTAAGACATCTTGTGTCTGATTATTCTACTTCATCTTAATTACTAAGGCTGATTTGAAGACATCTTGATTTTCATAGCTCGATACAGCAACCATTGCATTGCATAAGGTTTGACCAATAAAGACAGCAACTCTACTTAGAAAGCCTTACCTTAATCATAGAGTCCCTGTGTGTGTACCAAACCCTTGCTCTCCTGGTTGCGCTCAGCTGGGTTGAAGTGAGGTGGGTAAGGGAGAACTGCAAGCAAAGAAAGAGGAGAGAATGGGAGGACACAGAGCAAGCCCAGGCAGAAACATCAAGCAGTTTTGGGATGTTAAAAATAAAACTTGTGCATGTGACCGTGTAGCTCAGCTTACAGAGCAGTCTATTCCACTGTATTTGTTAACACTGTCACTTCTGGAGTGATACTTCACAAAGAAGATGTGAGAGGCAGAACCAATAATACTCTGTAACCCCTGCATGAAGGGAAAAGATCAAAAACCCTTCCCAGAGCCCTATATCAGCTCCCTGCTGCTCTCTGATGGAGTTTCACACTTTACAACTTAATTCCCTTTGGTGCCCGCACCAGTTTGTGGTTTCTGCTATTGGAATTGTTGCCGTGACCCCGGCTCTCATCGTCACCACCTCTAGCAGCTGGTGCAGACAGTGATGGCGGGTTTCTGATCTGCCCGGGCAGGGGTGGGCAGAAAGTGAGCAGGAACGGCCCAGAGCTGAGCAGCTGGGTAGATCTGCCTGTCCGCCTCCCAGGAACCCCCAGGAGACTCCCCAGCTCCAGCCCCTCCATTGCACATTGAAAGGGTCCCACCAGCCACCATGAGGAAGCCTGAAGGGTGCAGCTCCCAGTGTCACCCTTCCTCAACCAAACCTGAGGAAGCAGATGAGCAAACGAGAGCAGTCACGTTTTACCGTCAGCGTGGACCCATTACAGCATTTCACGGGGAGTTTCATCAGTTTCATGGTGAGCATTTCATACTCATGGTGAGTACAGACATATGGGTACTACTACATGTCAGTGAGGTTCAGATGGGGCAGGCACTGCTTCTCCCTGGGGGGTTTTCACCCCTTCTGGCTGCAAAGACACCTCTTGTGACCCTGCTGCCGTATGTGACCACTTTTCACCAACTCAGAAACACAGAACAACACCGAGAAACACAGAACAACGGCCGTGGTGGTGGCAGCTCTGAGATCCTGAGTCACGATGAACTTGTTGCTTTGTCTTATCTTTCTCTTGCCCTATCTGCGAGTCCCCAGTGACTCTCACCATTTGAAACAGTGCAGGCAACCGTGTTTTCATTTTTAGGGCTGAACAAAATGTCAGTAGGTGACAACCAAGGCTTGCTGGTGCCAATCGTAATTTAGTAGTGCTAAATATGGTTAGCAGTCTGGCTCCGTGTCCTTTTTTAGAAAGGGCTGTATTATCGTGATACCATTTTCTGTGATCCCATTGCACTGGGGAAAACAGGGGCCAGTGGTTATATGCCTAAACCTGAATTTCACGTAGTCACAACATGATTGCTGATCTGTTTACTCCCTCCACTTTCACCTCTCACCCCTCAATTCAGGGTCACTCTTCAGCCTTCAATGTTGTCATTGTCTTTTTAGACTGTGTTTAAAAACATGTTGCTTGCGTGCCTCACTTTTAAATAAAAGTAAAAAATTCTTCCCCAAAATCCGTATTACTGGTTTAGGAGTGAACTCTCTCCAGCTGAATCAACCCAGATTACTAAAACACTTAGGGCTTCAGAATTATCTGTTGTCAGAAATGAAGCTACCTTCTGTCTTAAATTTACTGGCACCTGATGTCAGCCTGGTTTTAGATCTCCGTGTTTCCAGTCTCAACTCTAGTGGTGCTTTTTACTGCTTCCATGTGTTGCTTGGTGATCACGCAGACCCAAACAGCCTGCCCTGGGCCTGCCTCACTCTGTTTGGTACTCTGCCTCACAGCCTCATGTAATGCAAGCCCCCAAATTTTGCAGATCCTTGCCTGCAGTTGATGGCTGTACTCCAAAAAGGCATCATCTGTGGTGGCGTTTTAGGGCAGGGTATCACAACACGTGCAGAATGAATGTAGTTCACCATCCCTGAAAATGTACACGTGGTGGAGAGAAGGGAAGAAGAAGGCCAGAAGAGCGAAGGCGATGAGAAATAGGAATTCATCCTTGTACCTGCAGCACACCATTGTATTAGCTCAGCTGCATCTGAAACCGGACTCTCAGCAAAGACAGGAGAACTTGCAGATCTCTACTGCCGCCCTTACCTGTGATAATTTGATTCAAGGTATGTCATGAAGGCCAACCAATACTGTAACCAGATCTCCGGCTGCAGTATAGATGTGCTTAATGGCAGGGTATGAGAAACGTGAAATCTCTGAAAGAAAAGTGTAACTGTTGTTTATTTTTTATGCAAATGCTCTGGGAGAAAGGTGTTGCCTGTCTGCTTTAATCTCTCTTATCTCAATTCTGTGGGTGGAAATACTGTGCTATGTAGAAGCCCTATGAAATATACCTATGCAATATGTATATGATATTTCTATGTATACATATGACATGTATACAAATACACTTATCTATTGATATGGAAAAACCGGGCCAGAGCTGGTAGCCTGAGGGAGACTGCCGCAGCTCCATGCCCCCAGGTCCAAGCAGTAGCCAGGCTGAGCTTGTATTCCCAATAGGCACATGCACAAACACACAAACACACCACTGAAACATACATACACGGATGGCCACACAGGTTACACAGCCGGCCACACAGACCACTCACATGAACACAGGCAGTGCCAGCGGTCTCATCCCATTCTCCCCTCTGGCTGAGCAGGATTGAGGTGCACTATTGAGCGCATATATATATACACATATACACACAACGTGGCTCCCTCCAGCAGCTGGGCTCAGGCAGTCTGCCCAGCAGCTGCCCCTCAATCCTCGTCTCTCCAGTCCCCCTACTCCCCCGACAGTAAGCTCCCCTGTGGTGCTTGGGCCCCCAAATAAACCCCCAGGGCCCACAGCCTCTTCCGCAGCTGCCCGGCCCCCCCGTCCCTCGCCCAGGGCAAACTGAGGAAGGAGTTTAATGAGAAGACGGGATGGGCTGCGCTGCTCAGGCACAGGGCATGGCCAGACAAACCATCACAAACCATTTACACGCGACCGGCCCTTTTTATTCCAGTATCCCTCTGTTCTCCCACACTTGTTCCTCCACAAATCACCTAAACCCCTCCCTTTCCCGCCTTTGGTTCTTCCCCTAAGCATCCCCTAACGAGTCCTGTGCAGTCCCCAAAAGGTCTTCCCCTGCATCCCGCCATCTGTCCCACATCCCTGGTCGCAGTGACACGCCCCCCCCAGCCCTAAAGGTGCTCTGGGTCTGAGGCTCCCCTGGGACCGCCCTGACAGGTCCCTTCCTCACAGTCCTTAATTTGGGTTCCCACCCATTATCGTGCCCCTCGAGCAGACTCCTCGAGATGGGCCTTTGGTGGGCTGGTAGCTCCTGGGATGGGCCTGGGAACAGCCTGGCAAGGTGCTGTTTGGGTTCCACCTCCTGCTGTCCTCTCCCTGTGCTCCTTTGTGGGTGTGCAGACGAGCTTTTGTCACACAGTCTAACGCATGTATATATCTCAGCATATATCACGGTTGACTAGCAGCTATTGTGGTTTTTCGTGCTAACTATGGGACCGGCGACCACCACCTGTATCTGCTACTGTCACTCGGCTGCGTTCAGTCTTACTACCGCACAACCGCCCGTAGAACTGTGAAATGGCTTCGCTTGTCACCCGTACCCCTCGGTGCGCGCAGATGATGGCAGTGCTACTCTTGCAGCGATGTGCTGTGTGGCGACACCGAGGCCACCGCCG